GTAATTCATCAGATACTTTTAGAAACTTTCCGTTTTCGTTGTCTTAGTGTGTCCCTTTTTTTCCTAAGAAGAGAATGTTGTTAGTTCATGTAACAGCGCTGCTTTATCTTGGGCAACCGATCAGTGCCATAATAAAACTGTAGATTTAAAGGTTTTGAAAGCCCTTTGAATGGTTCTGCTCCTGTGGCTCTGAATGTGGCTGTGTCAACAGTGATAGCTCCCTGTAGCCGCCTGGATACTGATTGCTGGGCTGTGATTTCCTCTCTAACCACCACAGCAAATCAGGGAGTGTGTAGGTGTTAGAGTGCCACTCTGCAGAATGCCTTTTGTTAAACAATACTGGTGCAAAGCTGTCCCTTTTATGAGGATGGGAGTTTAGCAAGCAGGATCTATTCCACATGAAGCCCGCACAAGAGTTCCACTTTTAGCTTGCTCCATCCGGCTGTTAAGCAAGACCACCAAGGCTATTTACGACAGAGCAAAGTCCTCAAAGCTCCCCTGCATCTCCATATTTCACAGCAGGCGCACTTAAGGATGGTGTTTTATTTCACCTTGCACTAATTGTCTGGGGCTGTCCATAGCCGCTGCTGCCAGCGCTGTTGCTCATGGCCTTGGTGTATGGTATGGGTCATGGACATACTCTCTGCTATTTGGAAAGCGTGGGAAATTTTTTGAGATTGAATCTAACAGCACTTGGAAATTTATAGTCCTTCAGACAGGTGACAGTTGTGGACCTAAAGCCCATACGCCCTTTCTGTCAGCAGTGAAATCCACTCTCTTTTCCCCAATCGTGAACCTGATTAGCTTGGTGCCGCGAATACCCATATAGGAAGATATGGCCATCTCCATCAAGTTTGGCATATGCTGGCTGGCGGGACTGAGCGGCATAGGCAGCATATATTAATAAACTGGGCTGGAGAAAAGAGATTGGATAGCTAATGGAGTCAGGCAGATGCGTATGGAGAGCTGAAGTGCTGAGACATATACTGTTGGCCAGGCGCCTGAGTGGCGATGCTGTGATTGGAGAACAGGAGGGCTGCCCCCAGAGGAAGTGAGTTATGCTGGGAATCATAGCAGGCCTGTGCCGTGGGGTCCTGTAAGGATTTGGATGTGCGCCTGAAGGAGGCAGGCGGGGTTGGCCAAACAAACAGGAGACGGACGTGATGGCCATGCAGTTTTGAAATGCAGCAGGCTGCTGTCCCTTGTACTGCTTGTTGCTGTTAGCATAAGCTGGGATCATGGTAGGCCAGCTGGGAGCAGATCCAGGCCGTTGGCACCAGAGGGTAATGCGCAGCTTAAGACAGGCATTTTGAGGAAACGGGGACCGTGGATGTTCTTGGGGAAACAAACCCTGGAGGTTAGTTAGACTGCGAGCTTTGAACGATGGGGACTGAGGAGAGAGATGCTGGTTGCTGACGAGGTGGCCCTGGAAAGAAAAGGGCTGGTGCATTTTGGAGGCAATGTGTGGAACACAGCAGGTAATGACTGCATCGAGGTAGGTGATGTAGGTGGAGGCATATCCACACGGCCTTCATCAGTGATGATTGCAGGTCGTCTGATGTCTGAATAGAGGGGGGGCGGACCAGCAGCACGTCCAGGCATAAGCTGGTGAGAATGTGGCGTACCCCTACCGGGCTCCAACGACATCTGTAGTGTGCTCTGTAACATTCTGACCTGCTGCTGTACATCCCATACACCAGGGGTATTCAACTAAAATTCAACGAGGTCCAGTTAGAGAAAATCTCCCCATGCAATGGTCCGGAACATCAAAATGTCTAACTTGCTTTATGAATTAGTGTGATATATATTGAAGTAGCATGTAGCTTTATCAACGTCTGCATGTAATCCACAACTGACTGCCAATCAAATAAAGAAAGTACAGTTCATAAACAACAATATTTATTGTCAATTAACATTGAACTATACAGATATACAGTAAATACTGTGTATATGTGTAATGTTCCTCTCGGGCTGCATTTAAAAATTAAATAAATAAAATAGCTTTTGAAAATATGTGCATCTTAAAGTGCTTAATTTTAGATAAATAAAATAAAGTGTAGCAGCAGCTTGAGTTTCCCTTTTTCCTTGTTAACCGTTTCACATCATTCCTTAACTGTTTCAGACGATTATAGAACAATATCAGTCTTTACACATCATNCTCGGAGTAGCTACAAGGACCCACACCCAATTCGCGTTGATCAAACAGTGGCCTATGCAACAGAGAGATTTTATTTTTCATCAGGATATTGGAAGAATAGGAGGGATTGAGGTCAATCACTGGCACTTTTTTATTTTATTTTAAATGGTACAGTACACTTTATGTTGAACTATTTATTATGTTGTTGGTGCAACTGGCACTTTATGTTGAACTGTTTATTGTTTTGGCCAAGGTTATTGAGAGAGTTGGACTGAAATGTATTAGATTTTTTAAATCAACTGTTGGTAAATCAACAAAGTCTGTTATGGCCTCTGAAGCAACAGAGAGATGTTTTCTAATAGTCAGGGTTTCCAATGTTCTGAATGTACTTGAAAGTATTGTGTTATACTTAAAAAACAAAGTGTTATAGTTTACAGAAGGTCTACCTACCTATAGGCTACCTGAATCTCTGAAATGTACTATATTCCTAAATATGCTATTGCTACACTTTATGGCAAAAATTGCACTTTTCTGTTGGTCTTGGTTAAGTACATCCTTGAAAAAAATAAGCTTATGTATTCAGTCATTATTCAATGGTATACTAAAATCCATGTGAAAAAAATTGCTTCTCACTGTTCTCAGGTCAAATATTTATATGTGATTGAAAAATGCGATTAATTGCGATTAATTAATTACAAAGCCTGTAATTAATTAGATTAATTTTTTTAATCGAGTCCCGGCCCTAATAAAAAAGTAAGATACATATTTATAAGAAATATTAATAAATAAACAAACAATAATTTAAATATGTCAAATTACTCAAACTTACAAACAAATATGTGAAGGGTATCATCATTTAAATTGGAGAAATCTGCAGTTTTATATGAGGTAGTGTTAGAAATGTAAAAAATATACAGAGGAATGTGCAGTTCATAGTTAAAGGGGTGAAGGGTTTATAGTCAGTGTCAGTGGGGTTAGATGGGCTAACGTGGAGTAGGTGCTTGATCCATGAGTGTTAGGGCAGTTTGATTGTTAACCTTGTCAACATTAGCTCAAAAATATAATATAGCTCTATTTAATTGACATTCATATTGTATTTATTGGTTGGAACTAGGGTCCATATTTTAATCACGCAATTAAGAGCTTTGGAAATGGTGGACACAATGCCAAAAAACACATATTAAGTGCCAGTTTCAAAACAATTCGCTGGCGAGAACCATAAGTTGAGATGAGTATCCAACAAATCATAGTTTAACTTTAGCTACTTGCACAACAAGTTGAGGCTGTAAAAGGTATCTTGCTGAATTAAACAATAGTAAGCAATAGTTATAAGCCCTGCTGTTGATGTAATCATTCATTTCATAAAGGAAAACCTTTGTACCATGGCTGACAACCCTCTATTTCCCAAAAGAGTCAAAATGAATGTCTACAAAACATATATATTTCCCTTCCTGTCCATTAAATCATCCCTTGAACCCACAGATGCATCTTGTGACCGCTCGGAGGGGCGCTGAACCCGAGGTTGGGAATCACTAATCTAGTAAATGTTAAAATGTTGATTACCTTTTAACCTTTCATATCTTTCCGCTCCACAAGACCCTCCGAACACTTCCATTCCTCTCACTCTCTCTAAAGGGAAGTCCTGAGCTCCATTTAGACGTGTAATCCAGTCGGATCAGTCACTTGATCATAAGCTGCTCCCGCTCTCTCCCTTTCACTCTCTCACACACACACACACACACACACACACACACACACACACACACACACACACACACACACACACACACACATTTCTGTCAGTATACATTTTAAATTTTTATTTTTTATTTAACCTTTATTTAACCAGATAAAACGCATTGCGATAGAATCTCATTTGCAATGCTGACCTGGCCAAGCAGGCAGCAACGTTACACATAACACATTTACACAAACATATAAAATACAGAGAACATAACTAAGAAAACAAAAGACGAAAAAGCAGTCACTACATTGAGCACATTAGGACAGTAAGAAAGGTGCACCACTTATTACTGCAAGAGCAGCTGGTGGTAAGGACTTCAGACAACTTCAATTTAAAACATGCTATTGAGGCAAGTGCCATCAGTTTGAGGCGGGATTGAAGGTCATTCCAAGACCAAGGACCATAATAAAAAAGACTCCTTTTCCCAGCCTCAGTCCGCACAGCAGGAACCTGGAACCGTATCCAGGCACTGGATCTGAGGTTTGTAAGAGTCAGCCTCCTAACCTGTTTAACATTTAACATATGATTGAATATCACGATTTATAACAGAGCCACCCTGTTACAATGTCAAACACACAAAACATTCAGTCAGTATTTGACTTTTTGAGTTGTCGGTTTAAAAGATATTTAAATGTGTGCACTTGTAGTTCACAGTTGTGTTCATACTATGCTCAAATGTGTGACCATCACAATACACACACATGCATGCACACACATTCACCCTAATGTTTCGTGCCAGAAGACAGCAGAAAAGCTCCAAAGCCCAAGAATAAATGTGATGAGTGGATGATTTACGGTCACTGCCCTCCAGTGGTGGAAAGTACCTGAGTACATTTTGCATTTAAGAATCATGCTTCAATTACAATTTAACAATTTAAGGACAATTTAAGTACTTGTCCTTAAATTGTTACTCTACTGCATACTACTTGACCAAAATTTAAAAAGCAAAATTGTACCTTTACTACAGTATACTACACTTATCTGACAACCAGTAAGTTTAAATGTACATGCTAAAACATATGCGTTTATAAAAGGCAGCTCATGGTAAAGATAAAAACAATGGTTGTGCTTGTGACCCCTCACAAAAATCAAGTATGTAGTTGAGGTCATATTTTTAGATGCATTTTTCAGATAGATCAAATAGTATATCATTATAAAACCATCTTTATGACCTGAACGCTGGTAAATTGTGAACTTGGTAATCTTTCCAATTGCCTTCGCATTTTTTGTTGTACTGTTCGAAAGTAAAAGTTGCTTTCTTAAGGAGAAACGGTGATTACTCCTCTCACCTCTCTGTGATTTCCAATCAACTTTTCACACCAGCTGGGCATACATGTATGTCAGTCTGTGTGGCTTTTCACCGGGGGTTCAAATAGGTTCAGACATATAATAATAAAACTGCACTCGATGAAATGTTTGCAGTTAAAGAGCATGGGAGCCCAAACGTCATCCTGTTACACACACATCAGAAACCAGACAGAGTAACGCTCTCATCTCCACTGCTTTTGCCTCCCTTGGGATTAAGTGATAAATTATTCATATGAAAAGAGGAAAAATAATTGTTGATGCAGCTAATGATGTTATCAGCTGTTATCTAATCGCGTGCAACCTTTTCAGTAAGGGGGAACAGGGTGTGTTTGTTAGAGGTTTGAACATTGACATTTGAAACAGGGAGTGGCCCAAAAGAAGTGGCCTCTGGGTAATGAGGTCTTGCTGAGAGGATACAGACTTTCTGACATTCTGGTGGTCTTTTTCTAGCGTCTAAGGCTTGTTTTTGTTTGTGTGCTCTGATGACCCTGACCATGAATTCAGAGTCTACCCTTAACCACCTCTTCAGAAAAGTTTGTATTGTGGACCGGACCGGATAATATAAAAACACATAATAAAATGGAGCTTGTAAAAATGGGCACAGCATACCTTTAAAAGCTTTTTTAAGGTTGTTCCAAGTATACACATGTGCTTATCGGGGCAGAGATGTCTTCACTGGGCCCAGTTTGGATTTCAACATATTAGGCACTCTGGAAATGCTGATATCACATAATATGGGATTGGTGGAGGTAATTTGAAAGATTCCCAAGTTCAAGATTTACCAACGTTCACATATTTAGGATGGTTTTAAAATTATAGACTATTTTGATTAAAACTATTTAACCATTTGGGTTTAGTTAGTGATGGGTCAATAAATGAGATTTATCTGTGCTTATAAACTCTTCACAATTGTAGTAACAACATGTTAACATGAAACTGATAATTATGGTATCTCTGACATGCACATTGTCAAAAGCTTTTGGTGGCTTTGCCTTTTCAGGGCATGCACTTTGAGAGATTTAAACATTGTAATGTGTTGTTTAAATACATGTTTGATATAATGCAATGTATTTGTAGTTATTTTAGAGAAATACAATCTCTCTTGCAGTCAAACATAATTGAAAATTAAAACACATTACAAAATAATTTTGGATGAGAAACATGAAAAGAACATTTTGAATTAAATGTTATTAACCCAAGCAATACATTGACAAATATTCCGAGAGAGTTACATCATCAAAAGGCTTTTCCAACACTTAATGGCCTTTAGAGTTGATCTGTTTTGAGCTTACATAACGCAGCTATACATTTCTGAAGCATTTTTTTGATGGCACAGCTCTGAGGGATTGATTCTATCACACTGAAAGTAAATCAAGTCACTTGAGACAGCTTTAATGCAGGAAAACCGTAGCAGTAGGCCTAGCAAATAGTCCCATGGGATGGGATACAATTACAACAATGCATCCTAGTTGCAATTTTTGAGCAAACTTGTAAAGTTGTTTTAAAAAGTCTACAAGCCCTACTTATATCAGCTTGGCAGCCTATCATGATAAGGAATTTTGACAGGCTTAAAAAGATGGTAAAAAAAACCTGAATAGATTTTCTATGTTTTTATCCTCCTTCACTACATCTGTGTGAGTGGCTGCTTCAGGACCCCTCTGTCTCTCTCTCTCTCTCTGGTCACATGTTGCGCGTATGTTGCGTATCAGGCTCAAAGTGTTTGTTGCCAGCAGCTGAAAGCAGCAGATCAGACCGAGGACACTAGAGGAATGGCCTCTGAACGCGATGAATCCAACTCAACCAGAAATCTGACCAACCAGTTCGTGCAGCCCGCGTGGCGCATCGCGCTGTGGTCGGTGGCTTACAGCACGGTCCTGTTGGTGGCAGTTTTCGGAAACTTGATAGTGATTTGGATTATTCTGGCACACAAGCGAATGAGAACTGTCACCAACTATTTCCTGCTGAACTTGGCTTTCTCTGATGTCTCCATGGCTGCCTTCAACACGCTCATCAACTTCATCTACGCGGCGCACGGAGAATGGTACTTTGGAGAGGTTTACTGCAGGTTTCACAACTTCTTCCCGGTCACTGCTGTGTTCGCCAGCATCTACTCAATGACCGCGATAGCCATCGACAGGTATGGGGGGAAATATGATATACCAACAGCAGGCAATGCAAGGGATATTTATGTCTTGATCATAACTTGTTTTCTATTTCCATTTAGTGTTTGCATTACAGATTATGTTACGCATTTACATTCCACAGTAATTTGGCAAATGAACAAACATGGTATACGTTTACTTACTTTGTATAAGAATGAATAGCCTATATCGATATATAGATATCTGTAAATTATCGCATTATGAATGATAGTTAAAGGGATTGTTACCTCTCTAATTAATTGCTCTTATAGTTGTGATGACCATTATTAATCCATATCGGAAAAGAAATCTCTTGCTTCTGTGTTTTTACTTTATAACCTGGTCTAGCATTCAATTGAGAAAACCTTTGCTTTAATCAGTTACGTGATAAACAGTGAAGAGTTATAAAACAAATAAGGAAGGATCACCTAATACAATAATTTACTTGAAAATCATCTTAGAAATACATTGAGTGAATCAGAGAATACTATGCAAAATGTGTTGCCTAATATTTGAAATGACTAAAAGTTCCATATCCTAAGGCTGGACTTTTCTGGGATTTTAAGAATTGAAGGGCAGCAATGCTTTTGCCATCACGACCCTTTGACTTTGGAACGTCCCACCTCAGGTGATAAGGGTCACAGGATGAGAAACCTCTTCTAAAACCCATTTTCTGTAGACTTTCATGTGTGTGCAGTCATAACTCAGGAGGACGCTGTGACCTCTGACCTGCAGGTACATGGCCATCATCCACCCTCTGAAGCCCCGTCTGTCGGCGAAGGCCACCACAGGAGTTATCGTGTGTATCTGGAGTCTGGCCGTGGTTCTGGCCTTTCCTCTCTGTTACTTCTCCACCACGCGGGCTCTGCCCCGCAGGACACTCTGCTACGTGGCCTGGCCCCGCATGGCGGACGACCCCTTCATGTGAGAACACTAAACTCACTGACAAACCCTCTAGCTGATGTCAAGCTTCATCATCATAATCATAACCAAGCAGGGCTGTTATGTTTCTTAAATGGCAATTTCTCTGTGCATCATTAACTCCAGATATGTGCTTGTCGCCCCCTTTTCATCCTGCTAGTCATTGTCAAATCAATTAAAATAAATACTAGATTTTGTGTTTCTGCTCTTTTGCAGGTATCATATCATAGTGACAGTTCTGGTGTACGTGCTGCCCTTAGTGGTGATGGGCATCACTTACACCATCGTAGGTGTGACTCTGTGGGGAGGGGAGATCCCAGGAGACTCATCTGATAATTACCACAGACAGCTCATCGCTAAAAGGAAGGTAAACGCCACATTTCTTTAATGCATTCACACTTTTTATTTACACTTTTTATTCTGTGTGTCTTCGGGTGGAAGCCAGAAGGGGTATTTGTAGGCATATTATGTAGGTTTCTTCTCAAGTATAAAATGATGTATCAAGACAAAATTGTTCTTTACCATCTGAAATTAAAGGAAAACAAAATGTTGTATAAAATGTGTGATCAAATATGTATGGAGATGAAGGAATTGGTTGTAAAGCATTCACACTGAGAGCCTTTACATAAAAATAAAAGTAAGCAAACATTTGACGATAAAGATAAACGTCAGTAGGCAAGGAAATGTTGGTTGTCTTTATTTTAGAAATATTGAGAAGAAAGAAACCGTTTTTCAATAAATTCTTAACCCTAAACCAACAAATAACAACCATCAGATCTACGTGTTATATCTCAACCCAAAATCTTAAATGTAGCATCGGCAACTAAATGCAATTCTGCTGCAGGGTGAGGTCCATCAGGAAAATGTGTCATGTGGAGCTGCAGGGCACAGAGTTCAGTGCTGTGAATGTGCAAACTGTCAGGGTTGAGTGAAGCAGGCAGGACCCAAATGCAGATTTTACCGAAAATACCTTTATTTCAAGGCTAAATGAAACAAACAGAACTCTTCCCTGTGAACACAGTCAAACAACAACAAGGAACTAAAAAAGACTAACATAAAACACAGAACCTAAATGCACACAGGACTAATCAAACAAACAAGAGACAGGTGAGGAGGGAGGAGAAAACACAGGGGCACCAAGTGAACACAATCGGGTAATCAGGTAGGAGGGAAAACAGACAGAAAGCAACAAGCAAGACGGGGTGAACACTTTTCAAAATAAAGCAGGAAACCAAAGACAGAAAAAGACAAGACAAAACACAACACAGACAGATCGTGACACAAACTGAGAACATTTACCTCAGAACAGTTAGAACTATACTTGTCATTTTTAATATTGACTTCTAAAAACATGCTATTCAATTGCAGTAAAGACTTACACTGAACAAAAATATAAATGCAACACTTTTGTTTTTGCTCCCATTTTTCATGAGGTGAACTCANCTTCCGGTCCGGCACAGAGATGGAAGCTTAGAACAACACGCTCCCGACCTAAAATATCTAAGCACTAAAAGAGTTGGATTGCGTTGTTCGGATAGTGTTTTTAGATATTTTAGGTCGGGAGCGTGTTGTTCTAAGCTTCCATCTCTGTGCCGGACCGGAAGTCCAAATCAATCTTTTCAATACCGGCGAGAATGACTTATTTCTAAGAAACGTATGAGCACATCTTTGGTAAACACAAGATTTAGAGTGGTTCTTTTGCATAATTATCTGTAAATAGACTCTGTTGTATCTGCCATTTACTTAGCGACTAATTGATAGTGTTGGTTGAGTAAGCATGTCTTTGTCGAAGGACAGCTCTCATAAAGAATACTGCTATCAGTGTGCTGTGGCTGTTTGTAGTAACAATGTTTCAGCGCCTCCTTTTTTTATTTAACATGCACTGAACATCACAGTCCCTTAGAGTTTACTTCATTGATCTCAGATCTATTACTGTGTCAGTCAGCTACCCTACCTTCTTTTACTCTAAGCAGCCCCTGGTCTCTGGACACAAAAGGCAGTTCACACTTAATATTCATACCTAGAAATCCCGGATATATTTAAACCAGGGTTGGCTACACTTTGGGAATATCTTCCTTCACTTAGCATGACTTAATTTCAGGTGATAGCAAGGGATGTAATGTCTTTGAAATTAATTTCCGATTTATTACGACACTGTTCTCTGATAAGAGTTCAAGAACATGGTGTAAAATGATTTCCTGTTGGTCTATTACTGATGTGTATCTTCAAAGCTCAGTTTGCAGAATCAAGGACAATGAAAGATTGCCTGGCTTGATAGTGGGGGACGTGAGTAGAACTAATCTGCTTTGACTAAAAAGATTGGTAATAATTCCTGACATGTATGTTGGCATGCACTCTTTAACTACTTTGCTTTTCCAAGAACTGATTAATGAGAGCTAAGCCATTGTCATTTGATTTATTGGGTTGACTTTCAGTTTCTACTTGAAGGGACAACCACGTAGCTTTTATAAACAGATGTGAAGAAGCAGAGAGAAAATGTTGTCTGCATTGCATGCACTGCATATGGTCACTAAGAATAGCAATTCTCTTAATAGAGTGGAAAATTAACCCATACGAAGCGACTCAGCATGCACAATTGGCACTAAGACATATCATAGGGCATGTGCTGCAAGGTCATGAGGTTCTCAGTCTTGGCATACGCAAACCAGAGTGGAACAAAGGAACATCCGCACAAAGAAGGAAATTGGCTGCGTTTCCAGTACAGTGGAGGAAACAGTAAGTTGTGCCAAAACAGCTTCCTAAGCTAAGCGGGGACAATGGATGAAGTGGGAAGGAGTGGAGACAAAGATGTTTAGTTGAAACTAGAGGTGATTTTGAAAAAGCAGGATTAAGTTCTTTGTTAATATAAATAAAGAATAGTTTAAATCCCCATTTATAATTTGTAGGCCTACTTGCTCAACCTACCAATACATTCAAGTTTTTCTCACAGCAGCACATTCTAATGAAACACTGCACAGCCCTCCTGATGCAATAGTGTTCTACTTTGTTCTAAATATTGACTTTCTATGCTGCTGAGCAGGTCACCTCATGCTAATATTTCCCCCCAGCCTCAGTTAATTCTGTTTTTGAACTATTCAATGGCTGTTTTATTTCAGAACAAGCCATCTGTTCCATTAATGTGTGATTGGCAGTAAAAGGCTGTTTCTGAAGTTCTGAGTTCAAGCCAGGAGGGCAGACCGACCCATTAAACTGCAATTGCTGGTTCTCCACAATGGCACTTCAGAACTGCTGAATAGAAAGTTTAAAAGCAGCGGGATCAGCATTTTTTATCGTATGTTTGGAGGTGAGAGTGACTTTGTGTTTGACATTTTGAATGAAAACCCTGTGGACTGACAACTGTAGCTATACGTGAAGTTATGGTTTACTATAGGTGCCATAGGTATTGGTTTATTAAAGGTCTTCGATCATCCAAAATGCACTTTTTATTGTCCCTTATACTTAAATATGTGTTAGGAAACTGGGGGTGGCGACAACTAATCGACTTAATCGATTAAAATCGATACCCAAATTAGTTGGCAACAATTCAGTC